CTTTTCTGTTTGTTTTCCATTTCAGCTCTGTCCGTGTGACCCAGGTTCTCGCAATGGCATCCAAGTCAACGTGCATTGGTCGTGATGGAAAAAAGGGATGGATCCCTTTTTTGCCGGGGAGTGTCAATGGAGTTGAAGATTGAACGATCAATTCATGGTTGTTTGCTCAAAACCAACTTCCCCAATTTTCGCGGAGGCATCAATACGACAGTCATCGTCTCATCGGTTGCTGTTCAGAAAGAAGTCGGTAGCAAACCATCAGAAGTAATCTTATGATTTATTATTGTAATATTTGTTCACAGACCCTAGTAAAAGCATTATTTTTATATGTTGGTGTAACAATAAAGAATTCTCGAGTGGCCAATCGGTCTTTTGGTTTTTTCGTCCGTTATTACTAAGCGTTTCTGAAACTTCAAGGAACAGCGTGGGCCCGAGCGTAGCAAGAGCTGGGCATTAACGGTTTATGAGACGTGGCTGACAGTTTCTGATGGTAGAAACAGACTCTGGCGGATTCAGACAGTTGGTGAAAGTTTGGATAGTCACCGTTCATCTCTCCTGGTGCCGGTCAAGTCCTCTTTGAACAAGCAATATCTGGAACTTTTTTGGAATTGGGTCAAGTTCAACAATGCCTGGGTCAAAGAAGGGACAGAGTGTCTTGGATGCAAACAGGAAAGTAAGTCATGGTGACTTGTCTGTTAATTGTAACGATGTGTCTGATGTTAAGCATGATATGGTTGATGTTACTGTTTCGCCGTTCAGGGATAATAGGAACATCAAACTCCCTAAATTTGAACCACGGTGTTTCGATGGAAACCCGGCTGATTATTTACAATTTGTAAAGGAGTTTGAGATCATGTTGAGTGGTTTTTATTAAATGATGAATTGAAGTTAATGTATTTGATGAGGTATTGCACTGGAGATGCTTCAAGAGCTATACAGTGCTGTGAGCTCCTGCCCCCTAATGAGGGATACGCTGAGGCTATGAGCATATTACGTCAAAGGTTTGGAAGACCTTCGATGATTGCAGGGAAATTATTCGAGGCTGTTAAGGGTAATGGTGGTCAATTACAGGATGACTCCCAGGCACTCACTGAGTTTTTAGATAATTTGCTAATTTACAAGAATGCAATGATTTCGATGAATTGCATGAGTGACCCCAACTCGAGTTTTACACTAGAAATAATAGCAAGACGCCTACCTACTCGACTGCAAAGGAAGTGGGTGAAGATGAGCTCCCGTATGGAGGATGAGGGTATCGAGCCAAAGTTTGATGATATCCTGAAACTGGTAAATACTAGTGTCAATCAATCTATGAGCAAGTTCGCCAGTCTATTACATCTCACCCCTAGAATAGAGCAGTCCGAGGGCAAAACGCAATCATTGATGACGAATAGGCCTCAGAGAGGTGGATATCGAGAAGGCACCATGATGTCTAGTAATGAATATAAACTAAGTAAGTGTATCAGGTTTCGTAGTACATCGTCAACAGATAAGTTGCAACATGCAAGACAAACACGGTTGTGTTGTACACGTTTGCAAGAGGTGCACACAAAGGTGAGCTGTGAACCAGTGAGCAAGTTCAGTGATAAGCTAAATGTAAACTCTAGGTCTGACTCCGAATTGTGTGACGATAACGGTGCGGTCAAGAAGTCTGTAGTTGCAACTGGTAAGCCATTGTTGAATAGAGAGTCACAGAATAGAGTTGCTGCTTCAGAGTGCAGTTCTGACTCCATAAGTTTACGAGGTATTACTAGTCAGAGTGAAGTTATAAAACCTTTTAGGATTTGCGAGGAGGAACCAAAATTGTCTACTTCTGTTATTAAAGAGTTTGAAAATGATAAAGTTGACGGTAAAGTGAATATTCGTGATAAGGATCATGATACTTCACATTTGTCCTTGGTTGATCATGATGAGATGAGGGATATGCCTACTACTGCTAAGTTGAACAAAGGTTCTGTACAACTTTAAGGTGAAGTAGAAATAAATGCAGATGCAGTTGCAGAAGGCATGCATACTTGTGAGACTGTCAGTGTGATTGATCAGCATGTAGCCCACCTATCATCAGATGCTAGTGCTAAACCTGAGCTGATAGCAAAAGACAGCAGTGGTGGTGGTCTTGCAGGTAGACAACTTTCTGAAAGCCGAGAAACAACAGCTTTTGATCCACCGCTAAGTTCATCAACTGGTGTCAATCAGTCGTCGTTGGTGTTGTCATCCACAAGGAAGTAGACGCCCATCAACTCATGTATCTTGTACAATGACTATAATAATATTGGTGCATTTGAAAGGACGAAAGATATTGCTCAGTTTAGAGAGGATAAGCCAAGTGTAAACGAGAGAGTAATTGTTAAATTGACTTGCATGAATAAAGGCATTTCTAGTTTCAAGTTACTATTTGAATGCTATTATCTTTGGTGTAAATTACTCTGTTTCTACGCTTGGTTGACCAGATACGTCGTGTGTTTGTTCGTCATCTATATTCTACAATACAATGACACAGGCTTGTTGCCATTCAGATTTGAGGATATAGATGATAGAAGGAAATCAGCAAATGAACTCTGCGACGATTTTCCAGCCTTGGGCGTCAACCTGAGAAGGGTTGTAGGCGTACTGCTGTAAGTCCTACAGTTCTTCAAAGGGTAGCGCATCAATGAGCAGTCCAATGTGCTTGGTGTGTAATTTTGTACATATGTTCATATTGTATATACTGAATTGATATCATCTTTCATCTGTCTGTTGATAATTTTGTTTGTGTACGGACGTCTTCCACTTGGATCATCAACCTGAGAAGGAATGTAGGCGTACTGTTGTAAGTCCTACAGTTCTTCAAGGGTAGTTTGTCGTGCCAGAATCTATAACATTTGATGTGTTGATTGTACATATGTTTGTGATAAATAATTGTGTGAGTTCCAATCATTGTAATCGTTGGTTAATCTTGTGTGTGTCCGGACATTCCACAAGTTAAAATCGTCAACCTGAGAAGGGTTGCAGGTGTACTGGTGTAAGTCCTGCGATTATTCAAAGGAATTCCATCGAGACACGGTCTGCGAGTTTGTTTGTACTGTTTGTATATACGTGTGGTGTGTCATATCAATTGGTGGTATTTTGGATTCATTGTGTTTACTTGTTGTTTTCGTACCTTGTTGTTATTGTGTAATTTTGTTAAAACTTTCGTCGTGCTTACTTCTGAAGTTGCTTCGGGTATTCTACATCCGTGAATGAATTGATTGATGTTAAGGACAGCAGATGGGTTGTAACCGCCGGGGAGGAGGCTATTGCTGAGAACGACATGCATACGGAGATAATTGTTAGCTGCGGTCCCACACGCCGGGGAGAAAGAGTGTAAACGACTGAGGCTCGCATACGTCACCGTTACCAGAATTGAGACAGAATGAGTGACAAGCGATTTCAGGGGTAATTGGTAGTGAGTAGATAAGAGGATGTGCGTAGAGTATCGTGAGGTGCTGCTATGGTCACGTTGCATTCTGCAAGAGTCATTCTAGCAAGTGGCGATTGTGTTGCAAGAGGATGCCTTTAACTGGAAGGCGCAGGTCATCATTGATGTGTGAGATTGTGCTGTGAGTATGCTTGTGGTGTGTTGGCTTTTCTGTTTGTTTTCCATTTCAGCTCTGTCCGTGTGACCCAGGTTCTCGCAATGGCATCCAAGTCAACGTGCATTGGTCGTGATGGAAAAAAGGGATGGATCCCTTTTTTGCCGGGGAGTGTCAATGGAGTTGAAGATTGAACGATCAATTCATGGTTGTTTGCTCAAACCAAGTAATCTTATGATTTATTATTGTAATATTTGTTCACAGACCCTAGTAAAAGCATTATTTTTATATGTTGGTGTAACAATAAAGAATTCTCGAGTGGCCAATCGGTCTTTTGGTTTTTTCGTCCGTTATTACTAAGCGTTTCTGAAACTTCAAGGAACAGCGTGGGCCCGAGCGTAGCAAGAGGTGAGCATTAACGGTTTATGAGACGTGACTGACAACAGGTTTCCACCACGCTGCAATGAAATTTATCGAATGACAGTCGTGGAAATGCACGCGAAATTTACTTTTTATGCCAAATAATCATTGCATGAACCATGTATTTAAGCGTCCTGTCCCACAAGCAATCAATAAATGCTCTAGAACAATATCGAACAACAATTTTCATATAAATTCATCCAACAGGAGCAAAATAAGCACCGAAATCGCGCCTATTGCGTTTTCCTGGACGACTAGCTCCAACTCGAATCAACGAAACCTCGCAATTGCCGTCAAGTTTAAGCCAAAGGCGCCACTTCATATAGGGGATATGCCTTATCAACGCCCATTTACCTCCTCATATATATCTCTGGTGAGGTTAAGACTGGTCAACTGCATTCAGGAAGCCAGTCTTTGTATTAAACGGAAATCACAAAATCTAGAAAGGTTTCAGAGGGAGGCAACACGTAGGATTGTTTCCATGACCAATTTATCATACGAGAAAAGACTAGACAGTCTGAATCTCTTCTCCCTGTCATGAGGGAGGTAGAGAGGATGCCTCATTACGATGTTTGAAATTTAAAGTAATGGCTACAGACGTAATCTTCTTCTTCCTCCTCCCACAAAGTCGGAACACCTCAGATGGCGTAGCAGTAGATTTCAAAGGGCAGGGGGATGTGCTTCAGTGGCACAGTGGTTAGGACTCTCCCCGACCATGCACATGGTCCAGGGTTCGAGCCCTCGCCGACGCACACCTGATATCTATGGTCAGCCTGCGAATTTCGGGCTACCGATATCCACGCTGAAAATTCCATACTTATACTGAGAATACGGTGTGAAATCAAGCTGTAATCAAAAAAAGTTAAAAAAAATTATTTGGCTGTGGAGTACGGGTTCTTACACCGAGTCACTGACTCCTGGAACCAATTTGCAGAAGAAGTAGTGTCTTCAGGCTCAACTGATTCACTCAAGGAGGGTTTAGGCAGGCGCGCAAAATTTACGCACAAAGAGTTAACACAGACTCCATGTCTTCTATCGTCAACCAATAAATCTGAATCATTAAACCCTCTCATTGCATTTGAAAAGGCTTTAACAGTCGGAGAGATAGAGAGTACTTCGGCAAAATCTTGAACTGTTCCATGACAATAGGAAGTGAGCCTTAAGAAGTCAGAAAGTCAGTACAAGCTCATCAACGAGGTATTGAACATCAACTCAGTCCGCCCACCAGCGCAAAATTCGAGTCGCTCCGTATGACCTTGAGGTCCCGGAGAATTCCTCAACTGCTTGTTAGTAGGTAGTTTCCGAGTTGTCTATTACATGCCGGGATGGATGAGCTTTCTTTGTATTTTTCAACCGAGAATGAAACATCCAAGACAAAGTTAGGAAGGAAATCGGCCAAATCGTTCTCAAGACCAAATAACTTTCATAATGACTCACATCAAAGCAAAGTTTTCAGAGATTACAGGAGGAAGAATAAATCCATGGAATTTAACAAAGAAGTTAACCATCGCCCACTCAACAACATCATAACTGCCTCCAACACTAACTTGCGTAATGGCTTTGATTGCGGGAATATTTCCACAAATATGCCACATATTTTACCTCCCGAAGTAGAAGTAGGGAATGTTGAGTATAAAGTAAGTGTGTGTTTTTATTGAATCAGTTTTTAATTTGCGATGTCAAGTGTTTTAGAATGATTAATAGAAGTTATATAAAGATACTACTGAAACTTGAGCCCTTAGTATGTCAGATTCAGATTCAGATGATAAGGATAGAAGGCTCTTGTGGCCTGTGTTAATCCTTGCAAAGTATATCTCTGCAGAGATCTAACTTCTCTTTGAAAGCGTTCACCTATGGAGCTGATACTACTGAATCAGGTAAGGAGTTCCAATCGTTGACCACTCTGTGAGAGAATCTAAATTCTGCACGTATTTTAATCGTCCTTGGTTTGAGCACCTTTTTGCGGTGACCCCGTAAATGTATCCTAGAAGGGGAGAAAAGGTTAGAAAGGTCAGTTCCTAAATCACCCTTAAGTATACGGTTTGCTAAAATTAAGTCGCCTCTCTTCCTTCGGTATGACAACGGGAAGAGATTTAAATGCTCCATCCTCTTATCATAAGGAAGGTGTGAGATACCACTAACTAATTTTGTTCCTACTCTCTGTACTCTTTCCAGAATATGTGCCTCCTTTTTGAAGCATGGACTCGTCGCTTGTATGCAGTATTCTAGATGAGGCCTGACATATGTTGCGTAGAGTATTTGGAACATGCCCTCGTCTAATCGTTTGAAAGCCCTTCGAATTGCCCATAGCATTCGAAAAGCTTTAGCTGCGGCTGCATTGCAATTTGCAGTTGTTTTCAAATCGTTGCTGACAATGATTCCTAGGTCCTTCTGTTCTTTAACATCAGGTAGTTCTGCATCCCCTAGGGAGTACGACGTATAAGACTTCTGACCTAAGTGCATTACCGCGCTTTTCCTAGCATTCATTTCCAAACTCCATAGGCTTGACCACTCAGCTAATTTATCTAAGTCCTTTTGTAGGGCCAACCTATCCTCGTTATTGTTTACAGTTTTCCATACCTTAATATCATCTGCAAATAATAATGAAGATGAAGAAAGAATCCCTGGTAATTCGTTAACGTATAATAGGAATAGCAATGGACCTAATACAGTTCCCTGGGGCACTCCACTGGATACTGCTTTCCATCCTGATAGTACACCATTAACTCTAACCTTCTGCCTTCTATCCATTAAGTAATCTCTAAACCACTCACATAGGCATTGGTCTAGTCCGAAACCTTTCAGTTTACTAAGGAGACCTAAGTGGGATACTTTGTCGAACGCCTTGCTAAGATCAATAAAAACCACGTCCAGCAGATGGTCCCTATCTCTGGCCTCAACCCAGTCTTCCCTAGCCAATAGTAGGTTTGTCAAGCAGGATCGTCCTGGTCGGAATCCATGCTGTTCCACAGCCAACAAGCCATGTGTTTCAACATAAGCTAATAGTTGATCCCTTATAATAGTTTCCAGTACCTTTGCAATAATGCATGTCAGACTTACCGGCCTGTAGTTAGATACCAATTGCCTATCCCCGTCCTTGAAGATAGGGCTTATAATGGCATCCTTCCAGTCCCTGGGTAGCTTAGCCTGCGTCAGAGACATTTGGAAAATCTCCGTAAGCGGAATATATATTATATCCGCCAAGGAAAGTAACAACTTAGGGTGGAGTCCATCCGGCCCAGGTCATCCTAGATTGGATTAAAGAAATTAAACCCCAGAATAAATAACGTCCCAATAACTTGATCACCCTCGAAAAAAATTATTTGCGTTAACCACATTGTAAAGTTATTGGTGTATACTCTTAAGAATGTAATCATTCGTTGGTCTCTATGACTAAATGTTAAATCAGGGTCAAGGATGCCCATTATCCTCTTTTCTATTCAACTTCATCATAGATGTGTTAATGGATTTAACCCTAAGTGACTTCAGCGACTCAGGGATTGACTTGCTACCAGGGAATAATCTCGTTGACTTGGAATATGCAGACGATATAGTCCTTCTAGGCGAAGACGCTGACGAAATGCAGAGTCTTCTAAACACCTTGAGCCGCAATCTACGAATGTTTGGCATGCGATTCGCTCCCGCCAAATGCAAGATGATGTTACAGGACTGGACTACATCGACACCTAGTTTGAAATTAGGAAGTGAAGTGGTAGAACACATTGACCGCTTCACTTATTTGGGAAGTACCATCAGCCAACGCCAACGGGTTGATCTCTGACGAAATCTCAGCACGAATACAAGGGGCTCGTTTCGCATTTGCCAGTTTACGCCGACTCTGGCGTAGACGAGATGTTCGACTATTGACCAAAGGGCGGGTGTACTGCTCATCAGTCCGCTCCGTCCTCCTTTATGTCTGTCAGTGAGACCTGGCCACTGAGAGTGGAAGACATGAAAAGACTAGCTGTCTTTGATCATAGGTGCGTGCGCTCTATTTCCCGTGTAAAGTGGCATAATAAGGTGAGCAATATTGAAGTTAGGCGTCGAGTTCTAGGTAAACGGGGGAAATCAATCGACGAAGTCGTGAAGCTACATCGACTGAGATGGTTAGGACATGTGTTACGTATGCCAAGTCATCGCCTCCCTCGACGAGCAATGTTAGCGGATATAGGGTCAGGCTGGAAAATAGCTAGCGGCGGTCAAACAAAAACTTGGCACCAGTCAATGAAATCCACAACAGTTGGTCTAAGCCACGTAGGAAGGTGTAGACTTCCAGGTATGGGTCCTCGGGACGGTAAAAATCTATGGCTGGAAACAATTGGTGACATGGCTCAAAATCGTTCTCAGTGGCCAGCGCAGATGCATCTACTCCTTGTGACTTATGATCTCCAGTGAAACTGTTTTGTTTTTCTTTATTACTCCTTTGTCTCACACCTCTGCTCATTGTTTCTATTATGCTTTTCTTGTACTTTCTTCTCTTGCTTCGCGTGCTACACGGAGTGTGGCGACTTGAACTTCCGCACATTTGTGCAAAGTTCTATGTCGAAAACAGACAGACAGACAGGGTTAATATTTAGTTTTGATCAATATCATGGTTGAAATTAAAGTTTAGATTGGGAATTAAGTAGTTCTTTAAAACCATAGGGTGTCAGCTATGACTTTTCTGTGAACTAGTGTGGTATGGCCTTACTCAATAGTTCTTTTTTTGTGAACGTTTTGGTGTGTTATATTCTAACACACTTTAATATTTGTTTATAGAGGATAAGGTGCTTAAAGCCTATGTTAATCTCTTTCTAGCAAATTTCCATGCTTGTGGAAACCCTTCTTAAATGAGTCAGTTGGGGGCACTGACACCATTTCTCGGGGGAGTTGGTTACTCGGTGTGAGAACCCGTACTCCACAGCGAAATAATATTCTCCTGCCCTTCGAACTCTTGCTACGTCCCCTGAGGTGTTCCGACCTGGTAGGAAGAAGAAGAGAGAATAAGCCATGTTCGCAGCCATTATTTGAAATTTTAGGCATTGTAATTAAATCTCCTCTCTGCCCACGGTATGATAGGGAGATGAGGTTTAAACCTTCTAGTCTTTTCTCGTATGATAAATTAATCATGCTGAGAATCATGCGTGTTGCCTTCGTTTGAACTATTTCTAGAATTTGTGTGTTCCCTTTAAGACAAGGACTAACCGCCTGAATACAGTTTTTGAGTCTATTCCTCACGAGAGATGTATGCAATGAGGTGAACATATCTCTAGTGATTTTGACAAATCTCAGTCATCATACTCAGCAAAGATTAATGCCAAGCACTGTTGGGTATGGAAATGCTTTACCTGCCTCATTGGTCATTCGGTTTTTTATCTTGCGGCTCTGTTTACTTACTGCTAAAGCGTAATAAGGTGTACGTTGGAACTGGGTAGATCAGTCGTAAGCGAGTTTCTGATGGTGATATTGCGACCTGTCATTAATATAGCCATCATTCTCTGTGTTTTATGATTGCTAATACCACTGATTTTGCTTTTCGCCACTCATTTACTATATCAATCATTGCAACAGACAAATAATAAGCGACACAATCGGGGAGAAATGGCCCCGTAAATGGCTCCCAGAACAGACGATTGGAACTCTGTACGGAACATTTTACAGAGCAATCTAACTTACCTACAGCCACACTTAACTTGTCCACCGTTTAACACCTGCCTGAACGGGATGTAGACATCGGCCTTCCATTTGTGACTGAGGTTACACGGGCTGTCTAGCCTGGAACGAAAGAAAGCATCAGGACGCGAATCAATGAGTCTGGAGGTGTCTAAGGACGGTGGTAACAGGCTGCTCTCTGGGTTGACTAAGATATCAGCTAGTGCTTGGGAATCAAAGACTGATGAAAGTCACTGATTATCCCAGTTCATAGGTAGGAAGATGTCTTTTTGTGATAATTATAGTCTGATAAGTTTGACTAATAAAGCATCTAAGTTTCTAGGTTGTATAATTATATGTAGTCTAAGAAGTGCTCGGCAGAAACAAAGCCGAGAAAATTGGGCAGGCCAGCCGGATATCACGTCTAATAAACCAGAGATGGTGTAAGTTGGCAACAAATGCCGACGGAGCCTTCTGTATCCGTGCTGAGATTTCGTCAGTGATCAACCTGCTGGAGCTAGATGATGCAAATTCCCAAATAAGTGAAGTGGTCAACCAACCACTTAACTTCTGCCTATCTTTAAGCTAGGAGTGAGTCGATGTATTCCAGTCGAGTCCTGTAGGATCACCTTACATTTGACTGACAGGCGCGAATCACATGCCAATCATTGGGAGATTTCTGGTTTTTAAGGTGTTCAGGAAACCTATAAGGAAAGACTATATCATCCGTATATTGTTAATCAACTAGATTATACCCCGGTAACAAGTCAATCGCTGAGTCACTGAAATCAGTTCGATTCCCAGCCGATTCACTCTTACTAAACCTAGCCTAATTGACAGTAAGCTCGAAAGAAAAGGAACGTTAGGCGTTAGGCCAAAAATCCGACCTCATTGAAACAACATCATGACTACTACTACTAAAACTTCAAACCCGATTTTCTACCCGAAACTTACAAAATGAAAAAGAAGCACAATATTTATTATCTCTGATGGACTATTGTGGGTA